AGCACCCCAGCTGCTCTGCCCCAGGCGTCCCCAAGTCAGCTTCTGCTGAAACTGACCAGCGCTGACTACAGGAAGCCCCAGGCAGAGTTGCTCTGCCCCGGGCTTCCTGGAATCAGCTGCTGATCAGTTTCAGCAGCAGCTGACTTGGGGACGCCTGGGGTTCTTAAGTTGATTCTGTATGTAAGTCAGAACTGGCGGTCAGTTTCAGCAGTGTCTGAATCTGGACGCCAGTTCCGACTTACATACAGATTCAACTTAAGAACAAACCTACAGTCCCTATCTTGTACTTAACCCGGGGACTGCCTGTATTTGGCTTGTGGAATTGGCCTGAAACAACACAGTGACTTAGAGATCCATTAATGAGTGTCCAGGCAGGTTAAAGAGTTCTCCAACAGGTTTCTGTGTTGCCATTTTGGATATCTGATTTGTGTCCATTAATTCTTTCCCATAGAGACTGTCCAGTTTGGCCAGTATACCTGGCAGAGGGGCATTGCTGGCATTTGATGGCATAGATCATATTAGTGGATGTGCAGTTAAATGAGCCCCTGATCTATTAGCTCATGTGGTTGGGTCTAGTGATGAAATTGCTTGTGTACATGTGTGGGGAGAGTTGGCACTGGGGCTGATTGCAGGAATGGGTTCCTGGATGATTATGATGGAGATGTGTTGCATGGTTACTGGAAAGAATTTGTTTGTGGTTCAGGGATTGTCTTTAGGCAAGGATTGGCCTTTCCCCCAAGACATGTGAGAGTGAGGGGTCATCTTCCAAGATAGGATGTAGATTGTTGATAAAGGGGTTTAAGTTGTGCATTGTAGGTGGTAAGTGGAATTCTATTTTCTTCTCTTGGCCTGTTTTGAAGGAGTTCATATTATAATGTGAAATTGATTTCTGCCCTGCTTTCAGCCATTCAGTGCCATTATTTTCAGTAAATGCACAGAGGCTGTAGTGAATTCTTGGGAATACGTGATATCTTCAAAGATTCAGTAGAACCTCAGAATTACGAACACCCCGGGAATGTAGTTCATAACTCTGACATGTTTGTAACTGAAAAAAAGCCTTATGTTTGTTTGTTCAAAAGTTTACAATTGCACATTACTTAATACAGCCTTGAAACTTTACTAGGCAGAAAAAGAATGTGGCTTTTAATTGTCTTAATTTAAATTAAACAAACACTGAAATAGTTTCCTTACCTTGTGAAATCTTTTTAAAAAAACTTTTCCTTTTATTTTTAGAAGTTTATTTTAACAGAACACTATACTATATTTGCCTTTGTTTGGTCTCTTCTCCTGCCTGACTGCATACTTGTGTTTCCAAATGAGGCATGTGATTGACTGGTCAGTTCATAATTCTGGTGCTCTTAATTCTGATTATATACTTTACCTAGGCTTGTAGCTAAAGCACAGGCATTAAGGAGGTCTGTGTTCTTTTCTCGACTCTGACATAGACCTTCAAGCATGATCTTAAGCAGGAACTTCTAACCTTTTTGTGTCTGCAGTCTATGTAAAATGGGGAAAATACTTGCATACCTTGGAAAGGTGTTGCGAAGCTTATTTAATTATAAAGTGCTTTGAGATCCTTGATGAAAGACACAATAGTCTTCTACATCAGCAGAGTACAGCTTTTCTTAGTGAGGCTCATGATGCAGAAATCCTTCTAATTTTAAATTGTGGATTTTTTATTTTATTTTATTTTTAAGATTTCTGATCCCCATCTTCCTCCCATGATGCTCCTTGGTCACTCTCAAGAGGTTACATCTGTTGCCTGGTGTCCTTCAGACTTCACTAAGGTTAGTTTCTTTAAATAAATAAACAAAACACCCTGTTTTGGAATTTCCTGTGAAATGAGGGAAGGAAGGACTAGATGTGACCACAATAGTGTGTGTTTGTTTGTTTGTTTGTTTTCAAAACTTGAGGGGTGTGTTTTGACCAGGGAAGGAATCTTCTCCAAATGGAAAGTCTTGTTGAAAACCGAATGAAATAAGTGAACTGACTTGCTTCTAGGGATATGAATGTGTACCCATCTACACAGTTAACCAATGAGCTTGAGGGAATTGTTGACATGGGGAGCAGGGTTAAGGGATCAGCCTAGCTCCAAAACAGGAATAAGCCCTTCTGAAATTGTGATACTCTATAGGACTCTTTGGATTTCTTATTGGTAATTTCATTTGTCCCTCTGCCCACCGTTGTTAATCATTAGTTTCTCTAGGCATCACAGAAGGCCTGCAGGAAGACTTTGAATTAGGTTTTGGTAGGGGCTTTGTAGACAAGCTGAAGAAATACTTTCCAGTTATTGAAGATGGCATAGGAATTGTCATGCTGGATCAGACCCGTGTTCCATCATGTCCAATTCCCTGTCCATAGTAGCATGGGAGAAACAAACAAACAGGACATTGGTCCAGATTTTAATGTAACAGGAGCCAAAGTCAATTCAGAAATTAGTGGTGGTTAGGCAGATCCTCAAATGCAGGGACAAGAAGCTTCAAGTTGATGCAGAGGGGGGAAGCAGCCAGTGGAAAAAGAGTGGAAGTGAACTGGTCTGAATCCCAGACAAGGAAGACAAGCCTACCAGTCATGTTGTTAGGGCTGATGTTGGTGTTGAGAGAGCCAGAGAAAAGGTGTCTTGATTTTTGTGAACATTGGCCATAGCTCTTCCTTGTAGTGCTTATTCCCAGGCGAATCACTGTACGCATAGCACAAAGGGAGATCAGTATAAATTCTGATGTTTATTGGGCAGGTTCTGCTGATTACAGGCAGTCCCCAAGTTATGCGAATCCGACTTATGTCGGATCCGCAGTTACGAACGGGGCCCTTCCTCTCCCTGGTCTCAAGCAGACCAGGGAGAGGAAGCAAAGCGGCGGAACACGCGGGCAGCGGACAGGGCTGTCCGCTGCCCACGCGCTCCGCGGCTTGGCTCTGCTTTGCTGTCCCCCCCGTCCCCCCCGTCCCCCGTGGCTGTCCTGCTGCCCTCGGGCTCCGTAGCTTTGCTTTGCTTTGCTCCCCGTCCCCCTGGTCTGCAGACCAGGGGGACGGGGAGCAAAGC